TTTCTGCTTTATAACAAAGGGAATCAGCTATACATATACATCTATCCCAATATCTCTTCCCTCTTGAGTCTCCCTCCCTCCCACCCTCCCTATCCTACCCCTCTAGGTTGTCACAAAGCACCAAGCTGATCTCCCTGGGCTACGCGGCTGCTTCCAACTAGCTATCGGTTTTACATTTGGTAGTGAGTATATGTCCATGCCATGCTCTCACTTTGTTCCAGCTTACCCTTCCCCCTCCCCGTGTCCTCAAGTCCATTCTCTAGTAGGTCTGCATCATTATTCCCATCCTGCCCCTAGGTTCTTCATGACCATTTTTTTTTCTTTATATTCCATATATATGTGTTAGCATATGGTATTTGTTTTTCTCTTTCTGACTTACTTCACTCTGTATGACAGACTCCAGGTCCATCCACCTCACTATAACTCAACAAATAACTCAATTTCGTTTCTTTTTATGGCTGAGTAATATTCCATTGTGTATATGTGCCACATCTTCTTTATCCATTCATCTGTCAGTGGACACTTAGGTTGCTTCCATGTCCTGGCTATTTTAAATAGAGCTGCAGTGAACATTGTGGTACATGACTCTTTTTGAATTATGCTTTTCTCAGGGTATATGCCCAGTAGTGGGATTGCTGGGTCGTATGGTAGTTCTATTTGTAGTTTTTTAAGGAACCTCCATACTGTTCTTCATAGTGGCTGTATCAATTTACATTCTCACCAACAGTGCCAGAGGATTCCCTTTCCTCCACACCCTCTCCAGGATTTATTGTTTATAGATTTTTTGATGATGGGTATTCTGACTGGTGTGAGATGGTATCTCATTGTAGTTTTGATTTGCATTTCTCTAATGATTAATGATGTTGAGCATTCTTTCATGTGTTTGTTGGCAACCTGTATATCTTCTTTGGAGGAATGTCTATTTAGGTCTTCTGCCCATTTTTGGATTGGGTTGTTTGTTTTTTGATATTGAGCTACATGAACTACTTGTAAATTTTGGAGATTAATCGTTTGTCAGTTGCTTCATTTGCAAATATCTTCTCCCGTTTAGAGGGTTCTCTTTTATCTTGTTTATGGTTTCCTTTGCTGTGCAAAAGCTTTTAAGTTTCACTAGGTCCCATTTGTTTATTTTTCTTTTAATTTCCTTTTCTCTAGGAGGTGGGTCAAAAAGGATCTTGCTGTGAATTGTGTCATAGAGTGTTCTGCCTATGTTTTCCTCTAAGAGTTTGATAGTGTCTGGCCTTACACTTAGGTCTTTAATCCATTTTGAATATATTTTTGTGTATGGTGTTAGGGAGTGTTCTAGTTTCATTCTTTTACATGTAGCTGTCCAGTTTTCCCAGCACCACTCATTGAAGAGACTGTCTTTTTTCCTCTGTATATTCTTACCTCCTTTATCAAGAATAAGGTGACCATATGTGTGCGGGTTTATCTCTGGGCTTTCTATCCTGTTCCATTGATGTATATTTCTGTTTTTGTGCCAGTACCATACTGTCTTGATTACTGCAGCTTTGTAGTATAGTCTGACGTCAGGGAGTGTGATTCCTCCAGTGCCATTTTCCTTTCTCAAGATTGCTTTGGCTATTTGGGGTCTTTTGTGTTTCCATACAAATTGTGAAATGTTTTGTCCTAGTTCTGTGAAAAATGCCAATGGTAGTTTGATAGGGATTGCATTGAATCTGTAGATTGCTTTGGGTAGTATAGTGATTTTCACAATGTTGATTCTTCCAATCCAAGAACATGGTATATCTCTCCATCTATTTCTATCATCTTTAATTTCTTTCATCAGTATCTTATAGTTTTCTGCATACAGGTCTTTTGTCTCCTTAGATAGGTTTACTCCTAGGTATTTTATTCTTTTTGTTGCAGTGGTAAATGGGAGTGTTCCCTTAATTTCACTTTCAGATTTTTCATTATTAGTGTATAGGAATGCCAGAGATTTCTGTGCATTAACTTTGTGTCATGCTGCTTTACCAAATTCGTTGATTAGCTCTAGTAGTTTTCTGATGGCACCTTTAGGATGCTCTATGTATAGTATCATGACATCTGCAAACAGTGACAGCTTTACTTCTTCTTTTCTGATTTGGATTCCTTTTATTTCTTTTTCTTCTCTGATTGCTGTGGCTGAAACTTCCAAAACAATGTTGAATAATAGTGGTGACAGTGGGCAACCTTGTCTTGTTCCTGATCTTAGTGCAAATGGTTTCAGTTTTTCACCATTGAGGACGATGTTGGCTGTGGGTTTGTCATATATGGCCTTTATTATGTTGAGGTAAGTTCCTTCTATGCCTACTTTCTGGAGGGTTTTTATCATAAATGGGTGTTGAATTTTGTTGAAGGATTTTTCTGCATCTATTGAGGTGATCATATGGTTTTTCTTCACTTTGTTAATATGGTGTATCACATTGATTGATTTGTGTATGTTGAAGAATCCTTGCATTCCTGGTGTAAACCCCACTTGATCATGGTGTATGATCCTTTTAATGTGCTGTTGGATTCTGTTTGCTAGTATTTTGTTGAGGATTTTTGCATCTATGTTCATCAGTGATACTGGCCTGTAGTTTTCTTTCTTTGTGACATCTTTGTCTGGTTTTGGTATCAGGGTGATGGTGGCCTCGTAGAATGAGTTTGGGAATGTTCTTCCCTCTCCTATATTTTGGAAGTGTTTGAGAAGGATAGGTGTTAGCTCTTCTCTAAATATTTGATAGAATTCGCCTGTGAAGCCATCTGGTCCTGGGCTTTTGTTTGTTGAAAGATATTTAATCACAGTTTCAATTTCAGAGCTTGTGATTGGTCTGTTTATATTTTCTGTTTCTTCCTGGTTCTGTCTTGGAAGGTTGTGCTTTTTGAAGAATTTTTCCGTTTCTTCCAGGTTGTCCATTTTATTGGCATATAGTTACTTGTAATAATCTCTCATGATCCTTTGTGTTTCTGCAGTGTCAGTTGTTACTTCTCCTTTTTCATTTCTAATTCTATTGATTTCAGTCTTCTCCCTTTTTTTCTTGATGAGTCTGGCTAATGGTTTATCAATTTTGTTTATCTTCTCAAAGAACCAGCTTTTACTTTTATTGATCTTTGTTATGGTTTCCTTCATTTCTTTTTCACTTATTTGTGATCTGATCTTTATGATTTCTTTCATTCTGCTAACTTTGGGGTTTTTTGGCTCTTCTTTCTCTGATTGCGATAGGTGTAAGGTTAGGTTGTTGATTTGAGATGTTTCTTGTTTCTTACCGTAGGATTGTATTGCTATAAACTTCCCTCTTAGAACGGCTTTTGCTGCATCCCATAGGTTTTGGGTCATCGTGTTTTCATTGTCATTTGTTTATAGGGGTTTTTTTTTCATGCGGTACACGGGCCTCTCACTGTTGTGGCCTATCCCGTTGCGGAGCACAGGCTCCAGATGCAAAGGCTCAGCGGCCATAGCTTACGGGCCCAGCCACTCCGCGGCATGTGGGATCTTCCCGGACCGGGGCATGAACCCGTGTCCACTGCATCGGCAGGCGGACTCTCAACCACTGTGCCACCAGGGAAGCCCTGGAAGCTTTTTTTTTTTTTTTTTTATTAAAGAACAATCTGTTGAATACTTCTTTTAAGTATACATTGATTTGCAAAACAAGACTTTTATTAAGGAAATTTTACTGTAATTGAAATTATCCTCCATATTATAAACTATAGCAGTCTGATCTCTTTAAATAGTTAGAAATCACTTTTATCAGTATTCCTATGAACTGTTTCTAGTTAACAGCACTTCTGACACCTAGTGTGGAGTTTTCTTTTCCACATCAAGCAATTCTCCAGTTCTCTCCACTGGGATACCAGGTGGATGTCCTAAAATTTAATTCAGTTCTGACACTAACTACCTGGATTTAGTACAGACCCCATAGGTTAAGAACTCAGTCTCAGAAGACTGCCCCTCACTTCAGGTGCTAATTGAAAGTAGTAGGTCCTGATGTTATCCACTCTTCTGTCCAACTTGGCTATAAATTAGGGGTTCTCAGGATCCCCTGCTCAGATTTGATAATTTGCTATAATGGCTCACAGAACTTAGGGAAACACTTTACTTGCTATTACTGGTTTATTATAAATGATGTTATAAAAGATAAATAGCCAGATGAAGAGCTTAATAGGGCAAGATCGGGAAGGGTCCTGGACACAGGAGCTTCTGTCCCTGTGGACTTCGGTGTGTACCACCCTTCTGGCACATGGATGTATTCACCAGCCTGGAAGCTCCCTGAACCCCATCGTTTATGGGGTTTTAATGGAGGTTCATTACATAGGCCCGCTTGATTTAATCACTGGCCATTGGTGATTGACTCAATCTCTAGCCCTCTAATCGCATGGTTGGTTTTTCCAGCTACCAGTCCCCACCCTGGAGCTTGCTAGGGGCCCATTAATAGTCACCTCATTAATATAAACTCAGGATGCTCAAAGGCGCTTATTATGAAGAACAAAATGTGCTCCTTAACCCTGTGATTCAGGAAATTTCAAGTGTTTTAGGGTCTCTGTTCCAGGAACTGGGGACAAAGACCAAATATATATTTCTTATTATATAACAGTATCACAAATATGTTTTTTGCTAATAGATTTTTATGTCTAAAAATTTCATTTTGAAGATAATTTCCAGATAATATTTTTCTGTCAGATGATTGTTTTACTATGCATTAAAATGAAATTAATTAAAATGAAATTCTTGCTACCAAAGTTTATCATCTTTGTTGAGAGGTTTTAACTGTGTTTTCTTCTTATGGGAGCAACTTGGCAAATACTTCTGAAAATCATGTCAGTTTGGGTTTTGGAAAGGGGAAGTAAGGGGAGAGTCTTTGCCTAGTTATTGAAGTTAGGAATACGATAATTTATATAGTTTGAAATTAATAATAGAAGGCTTTTTTTCTATCTCCTATAAGAATCTACTAAAATGAGTAGATTCCTGGTGCATTATAAGTGTTGTTAAATATATTTTTAATGTATAATTTCTGTTTTACAACTCACTTTTCTCACAGAGCTTGTCAAAACACAATAGAAGCAATATTGGAACCGAAGGTGGACCACCTCCTTTTGTGCCTTTTGGACAGGTAATGACTTTCATTTTGGCAGATGAATTTTAGTCGGCAAAAAATGTTTTTCATTTGTATTCAAGCTGTGTTTAGTTTTGTGCTGAACTGTTCACTCAGAGGTCATAGGAGTTATATGGAAATATATTAACTACAGGAAATCAATAATTGTGGGTTTTTTTCTCATTATTGTAATTAAAGTTTTTGTGTAGATTCTTTTCTCAAAAGCTGTTAACCCAGGACTTCCCTGGTGGCGCAGTGGCTGAGAGTCCGCCTGCCGATGCAGGGGACACGGGTTCGTGCCCCGGTCCAAGAAGATGCCACATGCCGCGGAGCGGCTGGGCCCGTGAGCCATGGCCGCTGAGCCTGCGTGTCCGGAGCCTGTGCTCCGCAGTGGGAGAGGCCACAACAGTGAGAGGCCTGCGTACCGCAAAAAAAAAAAAAAAAAAAAAAAAAAAGCTGTTAACCCAAAGATTGAAACAGTTAAGAGACACACCTGAAATGCAGCTTAAAATTAATATCAGGTGGTGGTGGGGGCATTTTTTTTTTGAGAGAGAAATGCAAAAGTAAGAAGACAAAAATATGCTATAATTTCTCACTTTGTTCATTAAAAACAAAAGAGGGAGAAAAATAAAAGCATCAACAGAAAGATTGACAGGAGACAAAAAGTGAGAACATGAGGCAGGGAAGGGCATCAATGCACTTTAGGAGAGCCTGCTGTCCCAGCTGCCCCTTCCGAGATTCTATTCTTCTGCCTTGATCCAAATGCCCGTCTCAGTCAGGTACTTAATTTTATTTCCAGTTAGTATTTTCGTTTTCAACTACAGCAGCCCTGATTCTTCTCTCACATAAGCTAAAGGTTTTTCTTCTGTTTCCTAACTTTCAACCCCCTTGCTGCAAAATGTTACCTTGAGGTACCTCCTCAGCTGACCAATATCGTGTGTCTTCCTGGTTGTGCTAAGCCTCAAACTGCCTTTAAAACAATCTCCTCCAGCTTGTCCCTGCTTTATAACTGAAGAATCTGAGAATAATCCCTGTGGCTGCTTGCTCTTTGCCACATGATGCCACTAAAATTTAGCTCTTGGTAATCTGCCTTGCATTTGTGCTTTATTTTCCTTCAAGAGTGCTGGCTCAAAGTGAAGATGAGTTGGGGACACAACAGCTAGGAAACAGACTTATATCTCAATAACAATTTTAAAAATTTTGGTATGAAAAACAGATACCTAGTTGATCAGAAAATAAGTGGGCAGGATCAATTGACTGGCATCCTCTTCAAAACCCTTTTTGGAGGGTCTACTCAAAATTAAATAAGACATTCTTGCATCGTGGCTATTTTGAAAGTATTTAAAACATATGTCATTTTTTATTGTGCTTTGGAACATGGGACAGTCAAGATAAAAGGAGGCATGATCTGTGCTGATGATATTCTTATTTCTATCAGTGAAAAACCCCAAGAATGAAAACAGAGTGTAAACATTTTAATAATTTATATTTGAAAATAACAAATGCTGTGTTTGTAAGAATTTTCTTTCCCCTTAAACATTTTGGTGATAATATTTCTTTCAAAAATTGCTCACAGAGACATATGATTTAATTATTTTCAAGAATTTGAAGTGTGTTTATAGCTTTTTTTTGTATTAGGAAGTATATTAAAAGTTATAGCTTAAATAATATTATTTGTTTATGAAGTCCATTGTGAAAATCTGTTATTCAGCATCTTAGCCTTGAACATGGGTTAAAGACAGAATATGCTTGGCTGTGTGTTAGAGTCAGCTATTTTATATTTATATTACTGAAAATCAAAAATCTGTATATTTGTATAACACATTTATTTGAGAGCATATTTTTATTCCTCTTTAAAATTATCAAGTTGAAAAAGGTTCATTTTATAGGATTTTTGCTGCTAGAATTAGAAGAGAGAACAGAATTCAGGACTTATTTTTAGACAATGATGGCTTTCTTAATTTGTCTTAAGAGACTAAAAACCTAAAACTTTGCAGCCTGATTAGGGGGAGGGAGTATGTTTTTAGCTTACGGCTTATAAGATGAGAGACACCTTTCTATATGTTAAAATAACTATAAACCCTCATGGATATTGTGGCATAATGTGGAAATCAAGGGCTTAATAAAAAACTGAATTTACTTCTTGTGCAATAGTCTAGACTGTTTGAAATTTAAAATTATTTTAAGTCATTATCCTAAAATGAAACTTAGATCTTTTGGTTTGATGTATGTTTTAAATATTGGGTTAGCCAACATGTTCATTCATAAGATGTTACAGAAAATCCCGAACGAACTTTTTGGCCAACCCAATATGTGCCCTGTTTTAGATTGCCTACATTTAGTGTAGCTTTCATTTACCAGTTACAATTACTTAAAAGTTACTTCAATTAGCTTTCTACCTTTATTTTTAAATCTATGGGAAATAATTGTATTTTTATGGGCTCTTAGCTGTTGTGGTACAAATGTTTCTTTTGAAGACATTACTTTCTTATGAAAAACTTGCATCTCTTTTGGAACCACTTAAACAATTTATTTTTATTTATTATTGCCAGAAGTGTGTATCTCATGTCCAAGTGGATAGCAGAGAACTTGATCGAAGAAAGACATTACAAGTTACATTGCCTGTCAAACCTCCAAATGATAATGATGAATTTGAAAAGCAAAGGACTGCTGCTATTGCAGAAGTTGCAAAGAGCAAAGAAGTAAGAAACTAAATCATTATGAATTTGTCTTATTCCTTGCCATTATGTTCTATTTAGATTAGTCACAATCATTATTGTCTTTTCACATAAAGTAACTAATTGAACAAACTTTTGACATTCTTTTTCCATATTCCATCAGTAGAAAATGCCCTGGTGCCTTTTGGAGTCTTATGGTTACACATTTTACTCATAAACATTCCTTTTCCAGTCTCTTTAACAATTCCATTAAGTTACCTTTGCTAGCAAACCACCCTTCTTTTCTCCCACTTTCTTTTCTTCTTAACAGTATACAAATGAACACAACTTTTTTTTTTTTTTTAATGGCAGAGGGTTTCCCATTATTAGTTGGGATAGATGATACTTTTTGAGGATAATTTTCCCCTATAATAGAAATTTTTGAGGAATTCAGGTAAACATTAGAGGGTAAATCAATGGCTCAGGATTAACATTTTTAACATTCTTAAATCTAATGTATAGTAAAAAATAATTTTTATCTTTGGATTATATGTGCATTTATACATACCCTCCTTTATCAAAAGGTTTTCTTTTCATTATTTGTAATTGCTTGCTTATTTGAAATAGGTGTTTTCTGTAGTTATTTATTGATTTTTAGATTTTGACAAGAAATTTTAGTTCATGAATTCGTTGCTTAGATAGATTTTTCTTAACCAGTGGTATTGAAATAGGTTTCTTTATTCAGAACCAGTAATAAATCTTAGCTAACAGCTGTTTTCCTATTTAAATTCAAATTTTAAGTAGGAGACTTCTTGAATTTTGGTAGTTCTTCCTGCAGTGTCTTTCTGTCCTGTTTATGTAGGGGACAAGAGCACAAATTCTGGAATCAGGCAGACAGGAAACATGTCCTGCTGACGACCTTGGATAGGTTACTTAAGTTTTGTACCATATTTACTTTATCTATGAAACTGTGAGAATTAAGATTGCTAATCTTTAAAACATTTAGAATACTACATGGCACAGATCATGATATAGTTACTGAACTCCAGTTCGGCAGCTTGTCACTCAAGAATCCAATGCTGAGAGTGTTGGGTTAAAGGAAAGATAGCTTTATTGAGGAAGCCGGGAATCCTGGGGAGAAGGTAGATGTATGTTCCAAAAAACCAACTCCCAACTCGCCAGTTTTGCTTGGAGATTATATAGGGGAAAGAGGAAAGGGCTACATGCTCATGGGGAGGGGGCTGTCTTCCATTTTCAGGATGTTTTTCTTGATCACACGATTCCAAGTAGCTAGCAAGTCTCGCTTGTGGTTGGAACATTAAGTCATAAATCTTTGATTAGCTGTTCCTGGAGAATAAGGAACAAGGGTGAGACCTATAGAATAACTAATCTTCAATCTCGATATACATCAACAGCTTTCTTCATCCAACAAGCTAAGCTAAGTTAATGGTAAACTAGGGTAGAAGTCAGGCATAGTAAGCATAAGATCACAGCCATATCCTAACTAAGAAATAGAGTTGGAATAATGCTGAGAAGCTGAGAGCCCCTAATTATAGTCTCACTGCCTCAGTTAAAATAGTCCTTTGCTAAAAGCCTTCAGTAAATGTGACTATTGCTATTCCTCAATGTTTTCTCTATTCTAAGACATTTAAAAATCATTTTTAATATTTCTGAAATTAATTCATTTTGCACAGTTTACATAAAATGCATTTCTTCTTTCCCAAAAAGCTGTTAAAATTATGGAGTTTCAGAAAAGGATATTGGGAGTATTTCAATTTCTTAATGATTATAGGAAAGTTGTTCTTTTGGTTTACATTTTTCTCAGACAAACTTTCTTTCCAAAATCTTGTTTGATGTCTATTTTCTGGAAGATGGGAATCAGACAAGTTAGGAAATTACTGAAGTAATCCAGGGGGAGAAAAGTTCTTGGTAGCAATGGCAGCTGTGTAGGTGGTGCCAGATTCTGGTATTTTGAAAATACAGCCATCAGAGTTTCTGAGAGATTAAAGATGGAGCTTGAGAGAAAAAGAGGTGTCATGAATGACTTCAAGGGTTTTGGCCTGAAAAATTGGCTGGTTAGAGTTGCTTACTTCGTACTGGAGAAGACCAGGGTGGAACAGGGTGTTATTAATATAATTAGTATATTAATACTGAGGTACATCTTAGGCATCCATGTGGTAATGTTTAATAGGCAGTAATACAGAGAAGAGTGTAGCTGAAAGGTGAGTTTTGGATTGGATGTATGCATTTGAAAGTGGTAGGCGTATGGATTATATTTAAAATCATGAGGTCAAATGAGATCACCAAGGGAATGAGAACTGAAGGGAAGAGAAAAGGAGAAGGAATGGACCCTGTAGCATTTCAACCTTACCAGGTGAATGAAAGAAGTTGAACCAGCCAAGGTGTGACCAGTAAGACAGGATCAAAACAAGAGAATACAGAAATTATTTCATGGAGGATGATGTATTGAATTTATCAAAGACTGTTGAAAAGTCATGTAAGATGTGGCCTGAGAATTAATGTAGAGTTAGAGGAGTCATTCATTCTCTCCACATTCCTTTATCATTCATGTAGATGCTGGTAAGATAAAGTATAAGTGTGTAGATATCAGTGGGTGGGTTGATGTGGTAAAAATCTATGTAAGTTCTTTAGTGATTATTTCCATTTTTTCAGTGAGGAAGTAAGCATGGTCAAACAGGCACAATGAGGGAGAAGATGTTTGAGATTTGAGGAGTGAGGAGAACATGTAAAATAGTGGTTTTTATTATTTGTATTATTTGTCTACTTTCTTAGATTCTAGAATCCTATTACTGGATCATGAACATAATGTAACAGATTCCTAGATAGGTTTGGTGCCTTGCTAAAGAAGATTGGGAGGGTGAATGGGCTAAGAAACTGTAGTAAGATTGCAAGACAGCATTAAGGCCCACTTGGGGTTTATGGTGGTGATGATGTCACAGATGCCTAATTCACATAATATGGACGGGATGGTGTGGCTCATACACGACAACATCAGTTACCTTATGGGTAATGTTTAAGTTGTGATGTTTCTAGATATTTGTATGTTTAGTGGGTAACAACTGTTTTAAAGCAGTGAAAAGCAATTCTGAAAATGCTATTTATCCTATTCCTTAATCCATAAAATGGAAAGAAAATAATAAGGAAATGCCTCCAGAAGATGGGACTATTTCACTGGCACCAAAATAAAAAGCACTTTTGGAGTTACATAATTTAAATTCCAGAAATATATTTAATTTGGAACAGGTCAGGATCCAGACTTTTCAGGTAACTATGTTCTAATATATTAAGCAAAACAGTAATATTGCCATCTGTTATGAGTGTTTACTATGTGCCAGTTATTGAACTCATCACTTCATGTTGATGATGTCACTTAATCCTCACAACATCCCAGTGAGGTAGGTGTTTTTGGGCCGTCCACGCGGCTTGTGGGATCTTAGTTCCCTGACCAGGGATCGAACCCCTGCCCCCTGCAGTGGAAGCGTGGAGTCCTAACCACTGTACCACAAGGGAATTCTCTCGTCCCTGTTTTAAAGATGAGAAACCCGAGGTTCACGGAGGGTAGAAGTTAAGTGACTTGCCTGAGGGCGGGAACTAGGAAGTGGCTCAGTACAGATTTAGTCCCAGCCTTGTGTAGCTCTTAAGCCTGTATTCTTACCTGTACTACATTGTCTCCCAATCTAATAAACTTTGTATCACATTAATATAAACTCACATTTTTCCTTGTGGTTATGTAAGCAATGACTATCAAGACATTCCAAAGCTATTTTTTTTCTTTTTTTGCTGGGATTGCAGAAACCAAAAACTGAATGAATCCAGCAATGGGTCTTTGGTCTTTGAAGATGTAGTTTTAATTTTGATTTGAATTAAACTTAAATATTGTGGTGTATCAACTACCTAATAGAGGTATTTAATATGTTGTCCATTGATGCTTATCTCACATCATTTTTCTATTTTTCAGGTTCTATTTCTTTACATTTTCATCTGATTCAAAATAATTTCCCAGTCTCATATAAATGTATATCTAGGATGTTTTCTTATTGTAATCATTTTAAGATACATTAAAAAATATTGATAATTATATCTAATAAAAATCAAGTCTTGGCTTCTGCTTTTATTAGCTCTTAGAAAACTATAAAGATATTATATAACCAGATATTTAATTTAATATTGTACAAATAACTGCGGAATGCTTTTCAGTCATGAATTTGTATCTTTCCTAACCGATGTTTTTTATGTTCTAGCCTTTCCACTGTAGTTTTGACAAAACAAAAATGAGATCAAATTCAAATTTGATTACACATATAATTATTCAAATAAGTCAGACAAAATAAGAAATATGGACTTTAAAGCTTTTATACATAGTTGGTAAGATATAGCATGTGTGGTAATTAATGTAAATAATAAATTAGTAATGAGACTTTTAATCCCATGTTAAAATTTGTATTATTTGTCTGCTTTCTTAGGTTCTAGAATCCTGAACATAGAATCATGAACATAATGTAACAGATTCCTAGATAGGTTTGGTGCCTTGCTAAAGAAAGCCTTGCCATGTAGCTGGATTTGTAGCTCAGGTCTCATGATATCAGTCAAGTATTTTACCCTAGAATAATTTTTGACACCTAATCTCCGTAATACTTGTACTATTTTCTTTTCTTTTATATTGTTGTCTACTTAAGTTTATTCTGATGATTTGCCTTGGAGATTTAAAGATTATAATCATGTAATTTTTTTAATTGCCTCACCTGGACTTGTGAGATTATGACTAGTAGATATTTAGAAAGAATTAGTTAACATTTCATTTTTTTCCTATAAAACATAATTAAGAAACTTAACTACTTCAGATTTTAGTCATAGCTTAGCCTTTAGAGCTTTTTAAAATGTTATTTATTTACATTTCTTTTATCTTTCTGTTATCTGAAGACCAAGACATTTGGAGGAGGTGGTGGTGGTGCTAGAAGTAATCTCAACATGAGTGCTGCTGGCAGCCGAAATAGGGAGATTTTACAGAAAGAAAAGTCAAACAAATCAGAGGGAAAACATGAAGGTGTCTATAGAGAACTGGTAAGGCTGAAGAACCAACCACAAAGTTTATGTCTTTTTTTCTTTAATAGCCTTGGATTTTTTAATTCTTTCTCAGAACCACCACTGGCTTTTTGAGTATATTATAAATAGGTGTCATAACTCTAAGAAGGCTTTCATTAAGGAGTCCAGTTAATAATTTCCAGTTATTCCATGGAAAATTTGGATTGGTTGAAAAATAATTTACTTAAGTAAAATTTACGTTTTACTTAACTTTCTAATGTCTGAATGATGTCTTTTAGAATGGATTGATAAAAAGTCATCAAATTAAACAGAAAACGCTCAATGGAAATTATATTCTAAAAGATGATGCATCAGAACCGTACAGTTATGGGCCGTTCCCTACCTTCCCCACATCTTTTCTCAAATTTTGTCTAAAGTGATTTTGTTTTGTTGTGTTCTTTGGGAAAAATATATTGAAATGGAAAATGTATATTATAGTCTCAATTGCAAAATATTCCTGGATTTTTGAGATAATGGGAGGAGTCAGAGATATTTCTGGTATGCTACAGTGTCCTCAGATATAAGGGAACTGACAGGAATTCATTTTCCTCTGCCTTTAAAGGTTAAATGACTTTGGGTGATTTTGTCTGTAGAGTGCTAAGACTAGCTTAAATAATGGGGTTTCATAATTCCATATAACAAGAAATTTGGAGATAGATGGTTACAAAGATTGGTAAATTCAGCAGTATAACAGTGTTGGAGCTCTGGTGAGCATCTCTCTAGTTTCTTGGTTTTCTTCTCTGGGTTACAGGATTCTCTGTGTGTTAAATCTTCATGCAAAAAGTTCAAAGGCAAGAAGGGAAGGGGACATTTATCTGGGTGTGGATCTGTTTTATCAGATAAAAAAATAATTTTGGAAATCTCCAGTAAATTCCATCTATGGTTCATTGACTAGAACTAGGTCACGTGCCCACTCCTAAATCAATCACTAGCCAAGGAGAATAGGTTTATAACAGAGCCAGACTATCTTTTCCTTGAATACATGATCATCTCTTTCTTTAAAAAAAAAAAGTCAGTTTTCAGGTTTGAGTGGATACAGCAAGTTGAAAACTACACAGTCTCTAACTCAAGAAGCTCTTAAACTTGAGTGAATTGAGAACCCTCATCTGGGGATGTCTTGCCATAGAACACCAAAGACCAGCAGTTTGGGATTGTTGTGAGGAGTAAAAACATATGAAGGGAGTGATATCACAAAGATGGCAGAATCGAAAGCTCCAGAAATTGGGCTGTCCACCAAAACAACTCTTAAGCTGACAAACATTGTCTGAAGCAACTATTTTACAACTCTGGAGTCAAATCAAACTCTTGCAGCATACAGAGTGGTGATTAATGAAGAAAGAGGCTGGTCACTGGCTGACCAGGGAGATAATGGAACAAAGACTCCAGTGATCACATATCACAAGGAATAAAATCCTTACAAAAGAAAATCTGGAAAAGTTGCTAAACAAACTTACAGCGGCAGTCTTCATTAAGTAACAACAGCAGTCCCTGAGGAGGAGGGAGAATCTGATTTCCAAAATTACCATCAATACAGTATTCAGAATTTTCAGTTCTCAACAGAAAATTACAAAGCATACCATAAAACAGGAAAGTATGATCCACTCATAGGAAAAAAAAGAAATTGAAAGGAACTATCCCTGAAGAAGCTCAGGCATTGGGCTTACTAAACAAGAACTTAAATTAACTGTCTTAGAAATGCTCAGAGGTGTGAAGGAACCATTGACAAAGAGCTAAAAGAAATCAGGAGAACAATATATGAACAAGTAGGGAATATCAATAAAGATAAATTATAAAAATAAACAAAATAGAAATTCTGGAACTGGAAAGTACAGTAGTGGAAATAAAAAATTTCATTAGTCAGGTTCAACATCAGACTAGAGCAGGCAGAAGAAAGAATCAGTGAACTTTAATATAGGGCAATTGAAATTACCCAGTCTAAGATGCAGAAAGAGAAAAAAATGAAGAAAAATAGAGCCTAAGGGACCTATGAGGTACCATCAAATGTACCAACATACACATTATGTTGTGTATGTTCTCTTCCCAATAGAAGAGAAAAAGGGACAGAAAAAATATTTGAAGAACTAATGCCCCCAAATTCCCAAATTTGATGAAATCTACAAATCTAAGAAGCTTAGTGAACTCCAATAGGATAAAGTCAGAGACACACCAAGACACATAATCAAGTTGTTGGAAGCTACAGACAGGAAATCTTGAAAGCAGTGAGAGAGAAGCAACTCATCAAATGCAAGGGATCCTCAATAAATAAATGGCCAATTTTTCATCAGAAAGTATGGAGGCAAGGAAGCAGGGGGGTGATATATTGAAAGTACAGAAAGAAAAAAAACTGTTCACCTGTAATTCTGTATTCAGAAAAACTGTCATTTAAGAATGAAGGAGACTATCAAAAGGGCAGTTTGAAATTTTAATGACCAGGAACCCTGTTCTTTTGCATGTTGCATGGTATTCAGCTCTTTATTTTCAACAATTGAAAGAGGACTTGATTGGGATGTCAGTTGACAGGTTCTTAAAATAATTTTTGATAACAGGTGGTATAATAGGTTGAATTGTGTCCCATCCATCACCCCCATGCCACCCCCCCACCAAACAAGATAGTTTGATGTCTTGACCACCAGTACCTTAAAGTGTGACTGACTCTCTTTGGAAACAGGATCTTAGCAGAGATACCAAGTTAAAAAGAGGTCATTAGGTTGGGCCCTAAGCCAATATGACCCTAATTTAATCTCCGTATAAAGAGGGGAAATTTAGACACAGAGATAGACACTTACAGAGGGAAGTTGACCTGAAGACACACAGTGAGAAGATGGCTGTGTGACTGGAGTGATACATCTATAAGCTAAGGAATGCCCAGGATTGCCAGCAAACAACAGAAACTAGAAGAGGCAGGGAAGGTTCTTCCCTAAATCTGTCAGAGAGAGCATGGCCCTGCCAACAGCACTGAATGAGAGTTAACTGGTTAACTGCAAATCAGGTTAACAAGAAAGGTACAATAAGTTATACCAAGGTTGGATATTAATTGATTCTTGAGTGTGTTTGGTTAAATTCTATGTATGGGATAATATTCTTAATTAGATATTTACTTGGGAGATAATTAGGAGAGGGAAAGGCTTTGGAAGGATTTTTTTTTTTACATTTAGATAAGTTTTTGAATAAGAAGGATGAATTATAGTTTTAATGTCTAATCCTTTTTACATTTACTTTAGTATATCTACAGCAGGGATGTAAATTTTCTCTTATGTGTCAGCTCTGATCTGTTGATCGTTGCTACTATATTTAGAAAGGGTTTTGTCTTTGGAAGTCACAAAATCAGGGTTTGAAAAAAAGTCAGGGTTTTAAAAACAGGATTTTTTAAAAAGTGCTGTGCTTTTAACAACGTCTACATGGGTATCAGAGTAGCTGTCTGCACCATGCATGCCATGTGTAATGCTATCTTAAAGCCTATCCATCTTAACTCTTAAATGTATAAAAGTTAGTTATGTATTCCTCAGCTGGTTATGATTCAGTAATTTCTTCATGGGATATGTTTATGTTACTTAAACAGTTCTTTAATTCTACTCAGGTCTAGATTTTTCAAGATTTGGGGTTCTGACATTTGTAAAGTAGATTTTTTATTTGGGGTACAGGCTGTCAAAGCCTCATAGATAGTATTGCTAATAAATATAGAGCAGAGTACTGAAACAATAGAGAGTAGAAAAAAAAACAAGCTACTGAGATGGTACCATTTTGTTAGCTTCTTTTTATACTTTGCATTTTTGGAGAGGTGCTATATAAATTGCACTTCCTTAGGACAGAGAAGTATCAACCATGAAAATTTTTCATTAGGTAGTTTTCACTGCCTGTATTATTTTCAAAAGCCTTATTCTGACATATAAAATTTCTTTTTTGTTTGTTTTGCATTTGTAATGATACAGAGAAAGTACTCAAGGCACAACCCTGCATATCACAGATCCTTCCTTGACTATTGGTATGAAAAAACAGCAAGTGATGTATTAATATCACATTTTTTCTATAAACATCAGATGTAATTTTTAGTTAAAAAACAGCATGTAGTTAAAAACTTATACCTTGCTTGTTTATTGGCTATCAGCATAACTTTTCTCTTCGTTCTTTACAGGTTGATGAGAAGGCTCTGAGGCACATAACAGAAATGGGCTTTAGTAAAGAAGCATCAAGACAAGCTCTCATGGATAATGGCAACAACTTAGAAGCAGCACTGAATGTACTTCTTAACAGCAATAAACAGAAACCTGTTACGGGTCCACCTCTGAGAGGTATAATTCATTAAGCAATGTGCCAGACAGTATTATTTGATTTTCAGAGAAATATATGTTGCTGACAAAGACTGGGTTTTGTTGCTGTGAAGGCTATAACTTCATTTACCATTATGGTAAGTGGAAGGAGCAGCAGTTTGGGAACCACAGTCTTATGTAGGTTATTCTTAGTCTCATTGTCTTCATCTTTATATAAAGTAGGTCTAATACCTTATTTAACAAGGCCATGAATAATACAGAAAATATGAAGTAACTACCTCTATTAACTATTTCTAGAACTAGGCCATTTGTATAAATGACTAGTCTATAAACTTTTAATAATTAACAGGAACATGACTTTTATTTAATGTTATTTTAAAATTATTGTATGGTCAAATGTATTATGTGATTTTTCAAGTCCCAATCCTATATTCTTTTAAAAAAATAAGTGGTTGCTATACAGCAGAGATTGGCACAACATTGTAAATCAACTATACTTCAATTAAAAAAAAAAAAGTGGTTAAAGAAAAATCATATAAAAATGATTTATTTTCCTTAAAAGATAATTTACATGAACAAATTCAAATTTCCAGATAGATCATTTACAGGATTAAAGGTGCTACTTAATATAGTCATTTAAAAACATTTTTGTTTTAATGGATGTAGAATATACAGAAAAATATGAAAAGATATATATAAAGTTCTACTTAAGATGTCTGCTGATTATATTTTAGTGTATATTCTTCTTTTGTTTTTGCATGTATAATGTATATGTCTTGCTTTACTTCTTAAGGTAAAGGAAAAGGCAGGGGGCGAATAAGATCTGAAGATGAAGAGGAACTGGGAAATGCAAGGCCATCAGCACCAAGCACATTATTTGACTTCTTGGAATCTAAAATGGGGACTTTGAGTGTGGAAGGTAAGCCAGCTTAAAGTAGATTTCTTTTTTATTATTTATTTATTTATTTATTTATTTATTTTTGGCTGCGTTGGGTCTTCGTTGCTGCGTGCGGGCTTTCTCTAGTTGTGGCAAGCGGGGGCTACTCTTCGTTGTGGTGCGTGGGCTTCTCATTGCGGTGGCTTCTCTTGTTGCGGAGCATGGCCTCTAGACGCATGGGCTTCAGTAGTTGTGGCATGCAGGCTCAGTAGTTGTGGCTCGCAGGCTCTAGAGCGCAGGCTCAGTAGTTGTAGCATACGGGCTTAGTTGCTTCATGGCATGTCGGATCTTCCTGGACCAGGGCTCAAACCTATGTCCCCTGCATTGGCAGGCAGATTCTTAACCACTGCACCACGAGGGAAGTCCCTAAAGTAGATTTCTTTTTGAAACACCAAACTTTATTTGGAATTGTACAAAAAAGGTATAATATACTGACAGTGTGAATGTCTACTCTTGGGTATTTACAAATTTATTTAATTACAAATTTCCTGTTTGACAAAAGTACAGAAGAAAGTTTTAATTGTTGCATTCTGAAAATATTAAAGCTTATTTTGCCCTCTAACTGTATGATGGGCAATATCACCAAACTCTTTCCCTCAGTTTACTAGATGACAGATTTAGCTATGAAAACATATTGTTATGTTGGAGAAATTACTATATAACTTTATATAACTTTTTTGATTGTGAAATTGGTCTCTTTTTTCTCTACATATTACACGTTGTATGAAAATATGTGATTATGGTTAGGGTTAAATGAGCACAGTGAGTGAGTATGCTCCCACATTGTGATATATTTCTTAGTATGATATATTTTAGTGATTAACATAATACTGAAAGAGATATAATCATGTTAAATGTTTATTTTTTAATTGAAGTATGGAATATGATAAATATTTTCTAGAATTGTAAGATTTTAATATATGATTGCAAAAAGTTAGGGAAATATTCTTTTAGATTTAGTTTTCTCTTTCAGATATATTTCGAATTAAACTTAAGCTCAGAGATAAAACGCTTTTATAACAAATTTGAAGTTTACAGATTTCATGAAAATGGAATCTTTTGTTAGATGACAAAGAAAAGATAATGCATTGTTTGAAAAACAAATGTTGGATGTAGAATGTAGATGAGATTGTAAGTAGACACATGTAAGAGCAATATTTTCTTGCTTTTAAAGTATGATGAGGGCTTCCCTGGTGGCGCAGTGGTTGAGAGTCCGCCTGCCAATGCAGGGGACACGGGTTCATGCCCTGGTCCGGGAAGATCCCACATGCCGCGGAGCGGCTACCGTGAGCCATGGCCGCTGAGCCTGTGCGTCCGGAGCCTGTGCTCCACAACGGGAGGGGCCACAACAGTGAGAGGCCCGTGTACCGCAAAAAAAAAAAAAAAAGTATGATGAATTCATTTCCTGTTGCTGTTTCACAAATTACCAAAAGGTCAGTGGCTTAAAACAATGCAAATATACTATCTCTTAGTTTCTGGGGTTCAGGAGTCAAAACACAGCTTACTTGAGATCTCTGATCAATGTTTCACATACTAAAATCAAGATTTCAGCTGGGGCTGTGATCTTGCCTCAGGCTTAAGGTCCTCTTACAAGTTAACTGGTTGTTAGCAATATTCACTTCCTTGTGGATGTAGGACTGACATTCTTGCTTTCTTGTTTGATGTTTCCTGGGGAGTGCCTTCAGCTCCTAGAAGCCCTCAGGTCCTTGCCACGTGACCTCCTCCCTAGGCAGTTCACGTGTTTGCTTCTGCAAGGTTAGCAGGAGAATCTCTACTGCTTCTTAAAATCTGACTTCTAGATATTTTTGTCCCAACCTTCCTTTATACTATCCCAATCAGAGCTCCTTTGATTTCCTTTTATCCTTCTGTCTCCCTACATTTGCTTTTGACTCCTAGAGCCTCTACTAAATCCTAATGAAGTTGAGACCAAGAATAGTAATCTACGGTGACCTGTGTGTCTATCAGCTTTCAGTTCTCACAGAACACATCCTATACCAACAAAATGTAGTATACTAGCATTCCACTTGGGAAAAGGTATTAAAGTTAATTAAGATACATGACATGAATAATACACTGAAATCTAAACATCAGTGTTAGAGAGATTTACTTCTGAGGGGGCAGAAATTTATAAACACATATGTTAATATTGGATATTGTTTTAGTAGACTGTTTTGTATTTACATTATTGTTATTAATATGGTACAGAGTCAGCTAGAATGTGAGAAAGATATAGACATTATAATAGTATTTCACACCCTAGATTTTCACAAGGAATATAACCTGTGACCTTCATAAATCCCCAAATTAAAAAATTAGGTATTTCTAATGTTTGTAGAGGCTCTTAAATTTTATCCAAATTCACATGTTCCTTTGATCATTCTAACCCCAGAAATTACCCTCTCCAACTTACATTAGAGTTTTCTGTCCTACTTGATAACCACTGTTCTCAGAGAAGCAAATTTCTGTTCTTTCCTAGAAGTACTGTGTGGGGAGGCCAGCTAACCAAGATGGGAGATAGGCAGAGGCTTCTTAGAGTAGGTGGCATTTAGACAGGTCAAAGGAGGAGTGTTGGGGGAAGGGCGGTCCAGATGTAGGGAACTCTGCATGTCCAGGCTTGGAGGCAGCAGAACGCCAGTTCCTATGCCTGGGAGGTTAAGGGAGAGGTAGAGGTATAAGGCCAGATGTAAAAGTGGTAGCCTGGAGCCAGATCAAGAGGATTTTGTCCTAAGGAGTTTTTACTGTATCCAAATGACAGTGTAAAGCCATGAAAGGGTTTGTGGCATGACAGTAACAAAGTTTGGTGCTTTCAGAAAAAAAATTTGTCCGTTGGCAAGGTGGAAAATGGGATTGAGACTGAAGTGAGGCTACAACTGTTTGTGTTGTAAGAAATTGTTCATTCTATATATGCAGTATTTTATGTAGTATTTATTTGTACCTGGTCTATGATAAGCAGCAGGGATACAAAATTTAATAAAATACCTCATTCAGAAAATTCATGGAAATAGATGGATTTTGTAGCTCTTGCCCCAAAGAAGCTTACTGTTAGTTTGTGAGACAGAAGAAACCACAAATTTAAAAGGTCATAGGAATGCTTATTAAAAAGAATATTATTATTTACTTTGTGTAAACCTTTTTATCATTTACTTAGTGTAAGCAACACTAAACAAAATATAAAGACTTAGCAGAGGTATTTTGAATACAATAGTCACATCTGATCAGGCGTTTTTGTAATCTGTAATAATATTACATTCTTTATTTCAAAGTTTTATTGCCAAAATAAGGCTAACTAGTTGTTTTGAATGGCTAAGAAATCCTTTAAACAGGCAGCCTTGAAAATACTGCTTGGTTTGCTATTTCATTGTTTTAAATGTTTGAGCAGAGAAACTTATCCTTTCAGTAATAGCTCTTCTCACCCTAAACTCTTTCTTTCACGATGCTGACATCGCATCAGAGGAGATTAATGATAACAAACATGAGCACAAGCAGCGGGACAATAAATTGATACATATATGGACTGAAGATTATCCTGCTTGTAGATGTTTCTTGTGCAGGCATGCCTGGAAGATATTGCAGGTTCGGTTCCAGACCACCGCAATAAAGTGAATATTGCAATAAAGCAAGTCTCAGTGCATATAAAAGTTACGTTTAAAAAAAAAAAAAGTTTATCCTATATTGTAGTCTGTTAAGTGTGCAATAGTATTATGTCTGGAAAAACAATGTACATACCTTAATTAAAAATGCTTTATTGTTAAAAAAAATGCTAACCATCATCTGAGGCTTCAGCAAGTCATAGTAGTGACATCAAAGATCACTGATCACAGATCACCATAACAAATATAATAATAATGAAAAAGTTTGAAATATTTTGAATTACCAAAATGTGACACAGAGAATGGAAGTGAGCAAATGCTGTTGGAAAAGTGGTGCCAGTAGGCTTCCTTGATGCAGGATTGCCACAAGCCTTCAATTTGTTAAAAAAAAAAATGCAGTATCTGCAAAGCGCAATAAAACAAGGTGTGCCTGTATTCTCTTGGCTCTGTCTTCACGCAGTCCTGTTACAATAAAGGTGACAGGATTAATGGAAACGCTTGATGTGTTGTCCTCCTCAGGTATCTTGCAAAAAAAAAGGTCATTCTGTTATTCCTTCTCTTATTAATTCTCATACTATTGAGGTATTCCTAGGTGAGCTGAGGTTCATAGTAAAATAAACAGCTGAGGCAAGTTAATGAATTGTTCTTCTGCTTACTTCATGATTTCATATTTCTTTTTAATTGAAAATAAAGCCCAGAATAACCTCTTACTTTTGTAAACTTGAATCTCCACTTTGGTTTTCCCTCAGAATTTGGTCATTGTTCCATAAATCTTATGTTCTAAAATTAACTCTGCATTGATGGGAGAAAATATTGGCCATTTTTCTAAGGAAAATCTAGAAAGCTTTTCAGGATAGAGTCTCCATAAATTTTAATGGTTAAATGCCTTATGGACAGCTAATGAAAATAACTATGGGCTTTTAACTTTATTCATGTTCATATCATCAGTGTCATTATTTGTGTCTGTTACATACCTAAATTGATTATAAAGAAGTTATCATTATTCAATGATGTGTATATTTGGATTTTTTTAAAATGTTTGTTTCTAATTCAGTTGAATTATCAAACCTCTCTTTCTTCTATGTTTTGTATCATTTAAGCTGTCTGAGGATTTTGTTTAGTTCAGGTAACCCTAAAAGTCATGTTTAGCTGAATAAGCCTAGGCCTGGATGGACTTGTTATGTCATATCAAATTCTGTGTAATGTGTTAGGCTTGTTGGAAAAAAAAAATACATCCTCTAAGAATGTGTTTCTTACAGATTTAATGCAGGTAAGTAACACATTTACTTTCACATTGTATTATATAATTTCCTCTAAAAGAACAAAGGGCACTATCATTTCTTTATCCTGATTTTTAGAAATTTCCGTCAGAGATACAGGCTTACCTTGGAG